ACAAACTAAACAAACATGGGTAACCAGCAGTCGATAAAAAACGCACCACCAGCCCTGCAAAGATCCTCTGTGTTGTCTTCTAGACACTGCTCCTGCAGGGCGATCGCTCCCCTGACTCCTAATAGCATCAGTTAGCTTTACCCACCTTGTGCCTTATTAAATGGGGGTTTACCTTCCACACTCCCTTTGGTCTGCGTCTTTCACTCACTGTCTTATATTCGAGGTTCAGCTATATTGTTGTATGTGGTTGTGGACTGTTCATTGTCATGGCTGCATAGGGCTCTGTTGTGTGTATACCACGGAAAGTCATGTTTAGTTTCCATTCTTTGGCTGCTGTGAACAGTGTAGCTACACATTGCTATTGGGCAGCTGTCTATAGGAGGGGAACTTCTGGATGACAGGGAAGGTCTATGTCTAGGTTTAGTAGATACTACTAAGCAATGTTTTCATAATACACACACACATATATGCATAAAGAATTATACCTAATTATTTCTATAAAAGAGATACTTACTTGCCCAACCTCTAGCATTTTATAAGAATTCCAGTTGCTCCACATGCTCACCATGGTTTGGAATTTTTTCATTCTTTTCATCTGAGCTCTTTATTGGGTGTATAGGACATCTTATCGTGGTCTTACTAGTCATTTCCATGATGACAATGAACCAACCATCTTTTCAGGTAGTTATTCTGCATAAGTATATCCTCTTATGTAATATACCTTTAACTATTTTCCCCATTTTTCGATCGGGTGACTTCAACAAAATGGCCCAAAAGGACATCCTTTGCTCATACCCTCCTCAACAACACGATTTGGCATCCATCCACAAACAAAAGACCTTTGTGGGAGCTGTGGGACCCAGCATCACAGGCCAATGCCCGTCCTTGCACCAGGTAATAGGCATACAGGCCTTGGTCTTGGTTGTGGACCATGCAGCGGCCTATAAACCCCTTTCAGCTGTGGCCTCTCTCAGCCATGGTCTAGGTGCCCTTGGAGAACACTGTCTTGGACAGTCACCCATAGAGGAGAAATCATTTTTGGAAGCACAGATTTCAGTGGAAAAGTTCTAGCACACCATTGGAACAAAAATATGTCTTTGGATGCATTGGAGAGGGTAACAGGAACCGTCTAACTTCAGCCACATCGACCCTTCTTCAAAGCAGCACAGCTCAGTGATGAGAGAGACCTTCTTGGCCCCTGATTTCTCCTGGGGTGTCAGGGAGTGGGGGGGGGAGAGTGCAGGAATGAGTGGCTGGCTTCCTCAGCTCTGTGGGAGGCTGCCACATGGGTCCATTTCTCTGTCACCCCCCCCCCAGAGTACTGAGTCATGAACTGCATGACTTGGGGCTGGGAAGCGGTTGGGAGAGCAGCAGGCAGGACTCTTGGAGGGCATTGAAGGGATTCGGATCTTACTAACTGCATCGGAAGCTCCATCAGACAGCCTGTCCATGGACCACAGGAAAACCTCATCAATAGTAAGAAATAAACAACCCAATTTAAAAATAGGTAAATGACCTGAACAGCCATTTTTCCAAAGAAAATATACAAACAGACATTCGGTACATAGAAGGTGCTCAAATCACGAATATCAGGGAAATGCAAATAAAAACCACTATGAGATATCACTTTACACCTACTAGGATGGCTATTATCAAAAAAACAAAAAATAACAAATGTTGGCAAGAATGTGGAAGAAAAGAAACCCTCATTTACTGTTGGTGGTATAGCCATTATGGAAAACAGTATGTAAACTGGTACAATCATTATGAAAAATAGTATGGGGGGTTTCTAAAAAAATTAAAAATAGAATTACCATATGATCCAGCAATCCCTCTCTGGGTATATATCCAAAGGAAATAAAATCAGCACCTCAAGACATGGCTGCACTCCCATGTTCATTGCAGCGTTGCTCACAACAGCCGAGATGGGGAAAGAACCTGTGTTTCTCAGGGCACGAATGGATAGAGAAACTGTAGTGTACATGTACATTAGAATATTTTCAGCCTTAAAAAAGAAGGAAATTCTGACACTTGTGACAATATGGATGAATCTTAAGGATACTATGCTAAGTAAAATAAGCCAGCCTGCAGGATCTTATTTATATGTGGGATCTGAAAAAGTTAAACTCATAGAAGCAGGGAGTGGAATGGTGGGTGCCAGTGCAGGGAGGTGAGGGAAATAGAGAGATGTGGCTCAAAAGTTTCAAAATTCCAATTATATAGGATAAACAAGTTATAGAGAGCTGACATACAGCACGACGGCTGCTGTTAATAATGCTGTGTTGAATACTGATAATTTGCTAGATTTCATGTGCTCTCCCCAGAAAAAAATGTAATTATGTGAGAAAGTTGATGTGCTAATTAATTTGACTGTGTAATGATTTTATTATGAATATATAAATATCTAAATTATCACAGTTTACACCTTAAATATATGGTGTTCCCCAAAAATGTAATCACATGCTTTGAATAATTATATAGGCAGTGTTTATTAAAATACATTTAATTTTCGAAATTGAGCTATCAACTGTTAAAGTGCGTATACATTTCGGGGGGGACACCCTGTATACATAATTTTTTTTTAATCCTCACTTGAGGATGTTTTTTCCATTGCTTGTCAGAGAGAGTGGAAGGGAGAGAGAAAAACATTGATGTGAGAGAGACACACTGATTGGTTAGGGCCGGGGATCGAGCCTGCAACCTGGGTATGTGGCCTTGGCCAGAATCAAACCAGTGACCTCTGGATGCATGGGACGACCCTCAACCAACTGAGCCACACCAGCCAGGGCAATGTATTTATTTTTAAAATGTAGACTAGGAGAATAAATCACATGCAAAAGTAATGCTTGTCAAAATGTTATTTTTTAATATTAAAAATTCTGAATTAATCCTCAAGCAGTACATAGGGCAATCTTTCACAAAACTATGGTGTAAGGATGTATTGGCACACCTCAAAAAGTATAATTATGACAAATGTGTAAACTGTGTTGTTACAGGACATTCATATACAAAATATAAATATTTTTTAGGAGAGTAACACATAATTTAAGTTAAAAGGTATAGCTAAAAATATTGCTGAGTATTAATTTAAACAGTGAAAGATACACATCTGTCAATTAATTAGGAGGAAATATGGGATGGCGCAAACCTGTGTATTTTAAGTGAAGTAGGTACATTTTTACTTTAAATTTAAGTACCCAGTAAGCATGGTTTCAAAGGCAGATGGACCTCTTCCCAGCATATAAATCCTGGTAAGTGGACCATCCTGCGTTAAACCCTGCAAAGTTCTCCAAAAGACTGATTTAAGCACAGGATCCCTTCCAGTTTCACAGTGCAGGTTATAGGCAATTCTTTATGAGCAGTTTTGCAAGTGAATTCCCATTATCTGCTGCTGCTGCTGAGCTTTCATTTTAACGAGGACCACCGCCACAATAGATAACATTGATTAAATATATACTATCCACTAGTCATTAACCCTTTCCGTGCTTACATACATATCTAATTCATCACCCAGAATGCTCTACATACACTCCTCAAACTTCCTGACACCATAAGGTGGGCTATGCTCGCTTTGAAAGGTTAAGTAAGTGCCTGGGGCCATGTAGCTCACAAGTGGCAAAGCCAGGATCTGAACTTGCTTCAGTCTTAACTCTATCTCCCACTTTGCTACACTACCTGCTGTTGTCAGGAGGTATCCTGTGAGCTTACGTTAAGGCAAGTAGGGGGCAGGTGAGCTGGCTATCAACAATGACTTCCACGGGAGAGATATTCCCTGCAGTGATCACAGCCTATATCACTGCCGCAGGCAGCCAGATACTGAAAGGGAAACAGACAAGAGTGAAAAATAGCACCCAGTAGCAGCTTTTTATTTTATTACAGAATCTAACTGGGTATGGTGCACCTTACTCGACATATCTTTTCCCCAACTTTTACTGACTCATCTTTCCAACAACTTTTGCCAACATCACTTTTTGGTAACCAACAATAATCAGTGTATTGTAAAAGTACTGGCCTGAGCTGATCTTGGGAGAAATATAGGACAGAGCTGGTTAACAGGAGACCATATAAGTTGTGAACTGGTGACAGTAAACCTGAATGTTAGGAACAATACTTTGAACTTTATTCCGCCAGCAGTATAGAGCCACTCGAGGCTTCTAGCAGGGTGGGAGTCATGGTGATATGACCAATGATATTCTTTGAAAATTAATCTGATTGTGGTGTGCACAATAGATGGAATGGGGACTGGGAAACTTATAGGAGGAGATGTCAATCATTCAGGTAAGAAATTGTGCATAAAATCATTCTTTCCTGGCCCTAGCTTTTTTATTACAATCATGCCCGTGGTGTATAGCAAAGATGCCAGGCCTCATGCCAAGTGGTAAGCACTGGGGCTGCAAAGATGAAATTAACTTGGAAAAGTTTTCCCAAAAATAAAAATGAAATTTTCACATGAAAATTCAGATGTTAAGAGGAGTGGGGGTCTTGGGTGCTTTGCAGTAGGTCTACCTAAATATGTCATCAAGTCCTTCCCAGTCCCGGTTTCTCTTCTTTCAGCATGGGGGCTGCACAGACACAGGGAGTCCCAGTGTCAAAAACACTGTTGGTGGGGATCCAAGTCATCAAGGTCACAGTGATGGTGGGGGAAGTTATTTTTCCCCGAGTTTATTCTTGGCCTCATACAACAGGGCAACCAGATATTCCCTTATTTTGGTCATGAGCCATCTCATGTTGTTTCAAAGTATTCAAGCACATTGTTTATTATATTATAAACCTGGGTGGCTATGATTTTAGGACATCATGATTTTAAGAACTTAAGCTAAAGATATTGACCTGATAATGGGTTTGTTCTGATGCACTTCTATAGCTTAGGCATGAGTATTTCAGGTTCAGATCACACATCCTAGAAGTGAGGTCTCCACCTTCTCTCCCTCCCTTGCTCCTCACTGCTAGCTTGTGGAAAGTGCAGTTGGGTGGAGATCACCATATTGGATGTGAAGTCACTATCCCCGAGGAGAATGAATTTTCCTAACCCAAATTATCTTTCTCAGGGAAGACTTGATGTCTCTGTTCCTCAGACTGTAGATAAAGGGATTCAGCAGCGGAGTTACCACTGCGTACATCACTGAAGCGACTGCGCCCTTCTGTGCCGAGCGGGTTGAGGGGGGACTGAAATAAACACAAAAGGAAGTCCCAAAGAATAGAAAGACTACAGAGAGATGAGAGCTGCAGGTAGAAAAGGCTTTCCGCTTCCCCTGAGCTGAGGGGATCTTCAGGATGGTTGAGAAAATGTACGTGTAAGAGATCATCAGGCAAAGCATGCAAACCAGGCCTGTGAGACCCCCGGCGGTGAAGATCACCACCTCATTGATGAAGGGGTCTGTGCAGGACAGACTCAGAAGGGGGTTGATGTCACAAAAGAAGTGTGGGATCTCATGGTCCCCGCAGAAGGACAGGCTGTTCATCAAGAGTGTGTGCAGGAGGGAGCTGAGGGCGGTCGTGACCCAGGAGGCAGACACGAGGAAGACACAGAGCCCAGGGCTCATGACCATGATGTAATGGAGTGGGTGGCATATGGCCACGTAGCGGTCATAGGCCATGGCTGCTAAGAGGAACGCCTCGAGCACCCCAAACAGCATAAAAAAATATAGTTGTGAGAGACACCCTGCATAGGAGATGACCTGATTCTGGATCCACATGTTTGCCAGCATCTTGGGGACCGTGGTGGATGCAAAGCAGGCGTCGGTGAGGGAGAGGTTGGCCAGGAAGAAGTACATAGGAGTGTGGAGTTGAGCGTCGGCGGTGATGGCCAGGATGATGAGGAGGTTGCCCGCCACTGTGACCAGGTACATGGACAGGAACAGCCCCAAGACGACCTCCTGTTGTTCTGGCTGTAAAGGCAGACCCAGGAGGAAAAATTCGGAGACGCTCGTCAGGTTCTCCCATCCCATTTGCCTGTAAGCAAAGAGTTGGGATAACTGAATGAGGTTAAGCCCTGCATTGTGAACTCTGAAAATTATGCAACATGCCAATGTGGATCTTGTAATGTGAGGTGGAATCATATGAAATTTCCAATATTTAACTGGCTAGGACCTACAAAAATGGCAGTTTCACGTAGTTCAATGAAATATTTGCAAAGGCCTGTGTTTGGTGCCGTGGGAAACCAAAGATTTGTTTCTAATGGGAGAGAGGCTGTTTGTTTGTTTGTTTTATTATATAAGCATTAATCCAATACCTATATTTTGGGGCTAGTCTGGAGGTGTTTGTTGGTATAATTCTTGTGGAATTCATGTGGACATTTTGACATTAATCCATCCTAAAACTTTGCTGATCTGATTTCCTTGGGCTGGAACAGTCTCCCCTCTCTCCCTCACCTATCCAGCTAAACTTCATATCTCAGGGTAGACATCACTTCTTCTAGGAAGCCTTCCCTGACTTATCCTCTTACAACACACTCAGGTTCATGCCCCTCCTGCCCCTGTGCCTGGCCCATCAGAGCATGTGTCACTCGTCTGTGTCATCCACACTCTCACCGCTTGAGCACCGCTGAGAGTCGGCCGAGAAAGTGCCCATCTCGAGCATCGTTGGAATGTCGCCTGAGCCCGGAGCCTGGCACAACACGGGCACTCAGTAAGCATGTGACTCAAGAACAGAAAGAATAGAATGTAAAATTGGGTAGAGGGAGTCCCGGGCAGGGAAACAGCCCGAGTCTTTCCCTTACTGGTGTCACACATAGCGTCCAGTTCAGGGAGTCCCGGCCACAGAAAAACGCAGAAAACCTGCTTCCACAGGCATGACAGGCCAACGAAGCACATGCAGCGTCTCTAAGTAAAACGCTGGCATCGAAGCCGTGTNTGCAGTGTCTCTAAGTAAAACGCTGGCATCGAAGCCGTGTTTCAGCTGAGGAACTAACCCACAGGATCAGTTTCCCCCGTACTGTTTGCATCCCTCCAAAGTAGAGCACGGCCTAGGAGCCTGGCAGCCTTAGTCCTACCCACTGACATGACTACCCGTAGACAGTCGCACTGGCTCACTGGCCAGGGGCATCTCTCACCACGCCCGCTTCCTCTTCCACACCATACCCCAGGGCATGTGCATGCCGCTCCCTTCTCGTTAGAAACCCACCGAGGGCAGAAATAGGAAGCCCAGAGAAAGAGCACAATATGCAGCAGGTTTGGGACGGCTGAAGGGGGCATCGCCCGTTGGTGGGAAAGGGAAGAGGGATTGGACAAATGGTGCTGGGATGAGCTGGTTAACTCTGGGGGAAATTCATTTAGATTCATCCCTCACAGTGTTTACTGAATAAATCTCAGGTGGCTAAAGCATTGTATCTACAGATATAACTCCACAGCAACCAGAAGAAAATATAGCACAATAGTTATTTGATCTCAGGACAAGGTTGCCTTTTCTAACTAAGAAAAAAAATGGATGCAACAATAAGGGGGAAAATTGGTTTCATCAAATTAAATTAGACTTTTATCCTTTTAAAGGGAAGATCATACACAGAGTAAAAGGCAAGCAAAAAAGTGAGCAACTGTTTTCAACATACATTATAGAAAGAATATTCTTAAAAGAGTAATTAATTAATAATTTTAATTTACAAGTGAAGGACATCCCCTAGAATAGAAAAAATGAATAAATAATCAGTAACCTTAAGCCACCTCTAGCAGGGGCGGAACTGGATCTAGTCTCAATCGTTTAATTCCAAGAACAGTGCTCTCCACCCTCCACTTGGTCTCCATGATCACCATACCTCATCTGCTAGCAGCTAAAATCCCCAGGATCGCCTGCGTGTGCGCCACTGGCCAAAATGTGATTATAACTTATGGTGTTTCCCCCACTTTCTCCCAAGGGTCTCCACACTGCTCGGGGCCTGTGTTTCCTAGACTTTGCATTTTCCATACCCCATAGATGTAGCTCTAGATGCAGTGGGTGGGTGAGTGGGGTTCAGTATATGGCTGCATTGGTTGACCTCTCCCAACGCCCCTTGGGAGATAATCACTTCTGTAGTGTCCTGGCCTCAATAGCTGTTGCCTTTTCCACTGCCCAGGGCTGCCCCTCACCTCTCCCTCACTCAGGACAGAAGGTCTGTTGACTAAGGCAGACCAAAAGGCCTCAGAATCTCTATTCTCCTTAATCTTGTCTCTTGACTATTTCTGGCTCAGCAAACACAGGAACCTCAGCCCTATTCCCCCACCAGCTTTCCTCTTAGCTCCCCGGTCAAAGACCAGGGACTTTACTTCCTCTTTTCTTTCTCCATTTGCTAACGTTTAGTCCCAACTACTAGGCCACCTCTTGCCTCATGAATAAAATTACTTTATCGAAACGTAAAACTCATTCAATGCATTGTCCTCCCTTTTCATATGTCAGTGGGCATTTTGCAGGCCTGTTATAAACTATAACTCCTACAATTCAAAGCAAATTTGTTCTTACATTTTACATTAGCTGTGTGCTGTTTTAACACACAAATTTCCTGTGGTTGATCATAATTTTCCATGAACCTGACTAGGATGCTTTCTGGACTGAGGTTCAAGTTTGAAAATAGAAATGAAATTTAGAGAACTTGTGTTTCCCACCGATGAAGAGAGAAACATCCAGAGGGAAGAAGTAAAAGTTATAAGGTTAAAAACAGAGTGAATAAGGTGGGGAAGGAGGGACTGAGTGAGCAGGGCATGTCTCAAACTTCTATTCCCATAACCATTCCAAATATAAACATTTTAATCCCGCCTCCCAAAACAATGTATATTTTGTTGACTAGTGTGTTTATTAAAAACCTCTGGAAGAATAAAGAGGAAGCCAGTAGCAGTGATTACTTGTTAGAAATCTGGGGACTGGGTGGATGAGACACAGGAGAGGGAGGGAGATTTTCATGTATACCTTTCTGTAGATATTTTTTCTATCATTGGTGGATTTTTTTTTTTAAATAGGTTGGTATACAATCTTATATTGGTTACATTAGTTTTAGGTGTACAATAGAGGAGAAGTTTAAGCATGTGAATGTACTACTTCTTGAAAAATAAATTAAGGAAACCATTCCCCCCAAACAAGCCATGGGCTCATAGGATGCATAAAACAAAAGACAATGCAGAACAGTGCAACCCCTCTTTTCTGGAGAGTCCATAAAGAGCAGAGAAATTTGGCTGGTTGGAGCCGCATCCTTTTAACTTCTTCCTGCAGTGTGGGGGCCTGAGCGTGTCTGTTCTCTTGTTCATGCATGTGTGTGAGTGTGCGAGAGTCCGTGTGTCTCCTGCAATTCTGGGGACCGAGTGAAAGGGATCAGCATGGAACTTTTTGAAGAGAAATCACTGTTGATTCCCGTGCTCTGTTCTTATAGCACATGACTCTCACAGCCTGTAAGATTTTGTGGACAAGGGCCTTTGCCTCTTTGGGTGACTACAGCAACACAGCGGCATCGCTGCTGGTACAGGACTGTTTGTGAAAGATGGGCTCCCAACTGACCACAGGGTGGGACGGGCAAAGGAAAGAGAGGGAGAAAAAAGGCAGCCAAGTGGAGTCGTGTGTCTTCTGTCCTGGTCCTTACCTAGTTGTGCTTGCTAATCGCTGAGGGTGTTACTGGAAGGCTTCTGTCTGCTCCACATGCAGCTCCCCCACTGTGGATGGTCAGGAGAAGGTGACAGGAACACCATTTAAAGGCACCCAAAGGAAGCTTGCGTCATGCTCTGAATGTGTTGAGTAATAATTCGGCCATCACTTCACCTGTTTGCCTCACAGTATTAGAAGACGTCTTATTTGTGTCTATTCTGAGAAAAAAAAGACAAGAGCTCTGAGTTAATATTATGACCATGTTACTCTGAGTATATGTCATCTGGGAAGCTACATTGACAGAACACCACCCAGAGCCTAACAACACCCCCGTCTCAGTCCTTTCCTATTTATTTCAGGACTTGCTGCCAATGTCTGCCCCTTTCACTTGTTCATAGAACCCATGAGAAGTGCGTTCCTGTAATTCCATCCACACCCTGGGAATTAAGGTTCTGCTATTCTTAGCTGTAGGGTGGGGCAATCTCAAGACTTGTTAAATTGAAGATAATAATTCTGTGAAGTACCCGAAACCCAAGAGGATTAAGAGCACAGTGTGATGTCCCTACTGTGAGCTAGTCCAAGAGAGCCTAATGCATTAGGGACCTAAGATACCTCTGTGGTCCCCGTGGGATCCTAGCAATCCATTCACCAGAAAAAAATCTAAATTGTTTTGGTCAATTCTTTTAGCCTTGTGATAGTTACCTGGAGCTTTTCAGGGAGACATAGATAGAGGCCTTCAGCACATGAAAAGGGCCAGCTGAGGTGAGCCACTGTTGGCTCAGAGAGTATCTTACCATCTTGTCTACTTCTCAACATGATCAGCTTAGTCCAGGTTGAAGCTTTGTTCATACAGCCCCACTTGTACTGTGTGTGTGTGTGTGTGTGTGTGTGTGTGTGTGTGTGTGTGTGTGTGTCTTTGGGCTGGGGAGACCAGGGGTGTGAAATTGGGCATTCCTTATTATGGCAGGTGCCAGCAACCTGAATCCTATCCTTGCAGATGTTTAATGACCAGATCTATGGGGCAAGGGGAAGCCAAAATGACACCAGCAAATGAAATCTCTTCTTTCTCCTGGAGAAATGGTCACATAATTGCCCCTCTGCTCCAAGGTCATCTAATCAAGCATGCAGAGAATAAAAAGCACAGAATGTGGGTGACTTGGGAATGTGGGTTATTCTTGGGTCTCCTTGGGACAGTGGCCAATTTCTTGTGTGTTCTAGAAGTGCTGCCATGATAGACCCTTAAACCAGTAATCTAATGATTTAAATATATTATTCCATTTTATTAAACAAAATAACCACATAATTCCATGTTTTAAAAAATCTAGTTTAATCTTTTTTCTACCATGAGCAAAACAAAAAGAGTGAACTGGTCCTACAAGAACATGTACCAGGACTTGGAACATTGGTGCTTGGTACTCAGAATTCACTGACCAAAGTGGAATGGCAACTGGCACAGATGAAGGGACAGAAATTGGGAAGAGAGCAATGCAGGTGTTGGAACTAAAATATTATCTGTGCTGATTCCTTTTCTATACCTTTTCTTTTTTTCTTACAATCTGGAGAGGTAAAACGTAGAGAGCTCAAATCCAACTAGATTAGCGCTGATGTTCTCAGATTTGGGAAACTGCCTAATTAACATTAACACTTTAGTGGAACTATGCTTGAATTTGAATTCGTCTGTGAGGCACACCAACAGAGCTAAGTGCATAAATGTGAAATGCTAAGGACAAGTTTGGAAAGCTAAGCTGTGACTCTTTTATTTCTAACATTGATCCAGCTTCCTATATTGGGTCAATGTATTTCGGTGGTGTTAAAAATGCTAACCTGCTTAATTTAAATTTAAATTTTAAATTATAAGGCTCGCATCAAAACAAACCTTTCACGAATGCACTGTTAAGGCAAGAGTCACTATTCTAGGCAGTGAAAATGGTTTCTTGGCATCCGTAATGCAAGTAATAGATAATCCAGAGATGTGTACTTTATTGCTACATGGGAATTACATTTAAATCTGAGGGCATTTTTTATAAAGCAAAACTAGACACCTAGTAATTTTGGCATATTAAGTTATCTTTACTTTTTTTTTCCTAGAGAACAGGTGATGTTTGTATCCACAATTTTTTTTTATATATATAAAATCTACTGCTTTAGTGTCAAGGGTGATACCTAAAGTCCAAAAGTAATTTTATTGGTTACTCTGGAAGACCATCATTTTTCCCCTTAATTTTAATATTAAAAAAATTATTATTATACAATATTTCAAACATATAAAAATAGAAAGATATGGGGAAGGCCTGGGTGTGGGGTGGGTGTGGGGCGGAGGGGATCAATGTGGGTGGAAAAAGGGGACATCTGTAATACTTTCAACAATAAAGATAAATTTTAAAAAAATAGAAAGATACAATAAAGCCCCTTTCTTATTTATATTTTTGTATTGCATATGCATATATTATACTTTAACATACATGTTTTATATTGTACAATTCATATCTTATAGGTCAATTGCATACCCACTCCAAATTACTGTAACAATACACTCTGCTGTGCTCTTTGGCTGATACAAAAAGGAGACAAACATATAACTTGCACAATTCTAGACTGTGCAAGTGTCATTCTCTCCCCACTAGAATCCTCATTCTGTGTCAAAATTTAGTCATCCTATGAGAATCTCAGGCTTGAGTCTCATACCCTTAGATGGTATCATCTATTTCCATAACTTCCCTTATCAACTCCACTCTGATCCATGCTCTGTTATATCTCTCATTCTATTATTTATTTGGATATCTCCTGAAAACATAGCCAAAAGGAATGAGATTTTCTTAAATGACTCTCTTGTTCATATTTTCATTAAAGGCTCAACCTCAAAACCTAGAAGACACCCTCTTACTACTTTCATACAAACTGCCACATTCTGTTGTTTCTCTTTCCACATTACCTTGGCTTCTAGATCCTTTACGTAAATGTTCACTGATTGTTTACATTACTCTAAATTCTTTAGAGCTCTTTACGTTCTTTAGAGCTGCCTAATTAAGCTCCTGACCTCACCACCCCTTCCTGCTCCCTTACTTTCCTCGCTCTATCCAATCTTACTTCAAGGCAAACTCTCATCAGTGCTTCCTGCAGAGCTTTTATTATCATGTATGTATGTATGTATGTGTCAACCTAGCTCTCTATCACCTGTCTACCTCTCTATTTATCTATCTGAATATCACCCCTAGACCCACCATGCAACCTAAAAGCTAGGTCTTTGGTAATAACTTACAGCTAACTACATTGTGGCCTCAGTTGCGTTCTCCTAACTCGCCCCTCTTGAATTTCTTTGTTCTGAATCCTATGTTCATCTTGCCTTGCCTTTGTTTTTAAAGCATTTTTTCTTTTATATCTATTCCTAGAAATTTTCGTTTAGCTGTTTATAACCTTATAAAAGGGTATCAATAATAATCTTTTGGTATTTNGAAAGATACAATAAAGCCCCTTTCTTATTTATATTTTTGTATTGCATATGCATATATTATACTTTAACATACATGTTTTATATTGTACAATTCATATCTTATAGGTCAATTGCATACCCACTCCAAATTACTGTAACAATACACTCTGCTGTGCTCTTTGGCTGATACAAAAAGGAGACAAACATATAACTTGCACAATTCTAGACTGTGCAAGTGTCATTCTCTCCCCACTAGAATCCTCATTCTGTGTCAAAATTTAGTCATCCTATGAGAATCTCAGGCTTGAGTCTCATACCCTTAGATGGTATCATCTATTTCCATAACTTCCCTTATCAACTCCACTCTGATCCATGCTCTGTTATATCTCTCATTCTATTATTTATTTGGATATCTCCTGAAAACATAGCCAAAAGGAATGAGATTTTCTTAAATGACTCTCTTGTTCATATTTTCATTAAAGGCTCAACCTCAAAACCTAGAAGACACCCTCTTACTACTTTCATACAAACTGCCACATTCTGTTGTTTCTCTTTCCACATTACCTTGGCTTCTAGATCCTTTACGTAAATGTTCACTGATTGTTTACATTACTCTAAATTCTTTAGAGCTCTTTACGTTCTTTAGAGCTGCCTAATTAAGCTCCTGACCTCACCACCCCTTCCTGCTCCCTTACTTTCCTCGCTCTATCCAATCTTACTTCAAGGCAAACTCTCATCAGTGCTTCCTGCAGAGCTTTTATTATCATGTATGTATGTATGTATGTGTCAACCTAGCTCTCTATCACCTGTCTACCTCTCTATTTATCTATCTGAATATCACCCCTAGACCCACCATGCAACCTAAAAGCTAGGTCTTTGGTAATAACTTACAGCTAACTACATTGTGGCCTCAGTTGCGTTCTCCTAACTCGCCCCTCTTGAATTTCTTTGTTCTGAATCCTATGTTCATCTTGCCTTGCCTTTGTTTTTAAAGCATTTTTTCTTTTATATCTATTCCTAGAAATTTTCGTTTAGCTGTTTATAACCTTATAAAAGGGTATCAATAATAATCTTTTGGTATTTACATTTTAAAATATTACTATGATGTTGCTGATATTCAGTCAAATTGTAACACGTCTCTGTGGGTCATTCAGAAAAAGAGAGATTTCTCTACTGGCTGGAGGGACTGACCCAGTTACCGAGGGCATTGTGCTGCTGATACACAATGAAGGGGGCCAAGGAGGACCCTGTCTAAAACTATGTCTGGGATGCCTTTTTTAAATTCTTCTTTTTCAAAATAAAATTTATCTTTATGGTTGAAAGTATTACAGATGTGCCCCTTCTCCTCCTTGACCCCCAACACTCCTTCTCCCCTCCCCAGGCCAACAGAGGTTAACAGCAACTACAGTATTCCCCCCACACCAAAAAAAAAGGGAGAAGTACTATTGAGTACTCAGATCCCTCAGGAATAAAAGTCTGAGTCACCTCAGCAGGAGAGAAGCCCAGTGGAAGCTGTTCAGCAGCTCCCCTCAGAGCATCAGGTACGTGGTCATCCCTCCCCCGAGCTCCTAGGTCCGGTAACTCTACCTTTGCTGTTTGTAACTAGGGGGAGTCATTCCTTCCTGCAGTTAATAATCTCTGGTATCAGTCTTCTATCTCCGGTCTCTTTCAGAACACACCTATTTATGTACTTCTTTGCATTAGATCTTCTTGGTTTAAACATAGCAGGTGTGATTTCTGTTTCGGAGCTGGGCTCTACCTGCCCTGAACAGACCTACTACCTAAATAGACTTTTTCAGACTTAGTCAATCCCTGGACTTTGGTACATGAAGTAATTTAAGTTACATCAAAATTATTCCAGGACAGTATGTTTGACAGAATCAAAGAGAGACAGCTGAGACAGTGATGTTACAGGTGCAATGATTTTTATTTGCATTTAAAGGTAGAAACATGCATATCAATTCTTATGATTATTGTAAGAAATACAGTAGTGGAGGTCAGCTTCCTTTGTCTAAATTAAAGCAGAGAAATAACGTCCAAGTGGCAGAGCAGTTTAGTGGTAAGGAGTTCTACGAGTTTACACCCTCAGTTCTTCTTTTACAACATCCTCTTGGCACTTAATATTTTACTATGGGAAATAGCTGAAATATCTCATACCATTTGGCTTTTTTTTTTTTTTTTAGTTTACCCATATTAGGAAAAGTAACCTTGTTGCATTCATTATTTAAACATAATATTGCAGGATTCGTTTATTAATTTAATACAAATTTATTCAATATTTCCTACATGTCAGCACTGTCTAAGGGCTGAAGCTACAGCAGAACAAAACAGATCCCCAAGCCTGGCCTGTGTGGCTCAGCGGTTGAGCATCGACCTAGGATCCAGGAGATGGCGGTTCGATTCCCGGTCCAGGCACATGCCCGCATTGCAGGCTCGATCCCCAGTCGGGGCCTGCAGGAGGCGGCCGATCAGTGACTCTCTCATCATTGATGTTTCTCTCTCTCTCCCTCTCCCTTCCTCTTTCTGAAATCAATAAAGATATATAAAAATAAAAAAATTTTAAAAAAAGAACTATCCCTATCCTCACATCCTGTGACAGTGGCAGGCAGATATTATTTTTCCTAAATGTAGAGGTAGAAGCTGAGCTTCAGACCTTTCCCTTCACTCTGGTAGCGGTACAATAGCTGGGACATGAGCCCAGTGCTCCTGTGCTGCCACTCTGCCCAAGGACAACAATGACTACAAAGTGATAAGTTCAGGAAGATGCATCATAAATTGGTACAAATGTCCGAGAAGAAGAATTTTGAGCTGGAAAGATCAAAGATGGCTTTTTGGAGGGGAAGACACTGGGGCTGGATCTCCACGTGCCTCCTGGTTGGTGGCTGCAGCCTCCAGTGCGGCCTCCCGTTGGCTACGTGGAGATCCTCTTGCTGAAGAGTTTCCCCAGGGCGGCCTTTATGTCCTGATTTCTCAGACTGTAGATGAAAGGATTTAACATTGGGGTCACTGCCATGTACATGACAGTCATCACAGCATCTTTTAGACTGTAACTAGCCAGAGGGCGGAAATACGTGCCCATGACTGTCCCATAATACAGAGAAACCACTGTGAGGTGGGAACCACAGGTGGAGAAGGCTTTGAACACACCTTTGGTAGATGGAACATGTAAGACAGTGGAAAAGACCCGCACGTAGGAGAGGATGATGTACAGCAATGGCACAGAGAAGACGCCAACCCCGAGGTACATCACCCTCACATTAAAGTGGACGTCAGAACAGGACAGCTTGAGCAGAGGTACAATGTCACAGTAGAAGTTGGCCACTGCCCGGTTGCCACAGAAGGACAGACTGGCTGTGAGCAGAGTGTGGAGGAGGGCATTGGCATGGCCAACCACCCAGGACCCAACGACCAGCAGGACACAAAGTCGTGAGCTCATAACCGTTGTGTAATGAAGTGGGCGGCTGATGGCCACAGCCCGGTCGTACGCCATCGCGGCCAGGAGATAGCTGTCAGTGACACCCAAGGCGATCATGAAGTACATCTGCGTTAGGCAGCCCCCAAAGGAGATGGCTTTGGTGCCCAAGAGATGGTTGGTTATCATCTTGGGCATGGTTACAGAGGAGAAACAGATGTCCACAAAGGAGAGGTTAGCGAGGAAAAAATACATGGGGGTGTGCAGGCGAAGGTCGGAGCAGATGGCCCAGGCGATGAGCAGGTTCCCAGCCAGTGTCACGGGGTAGACCAGCAGGCAGAGAGTGAAGAAGACGCGCTCCCGATCCTGCCGGCCGCTCACCCCCAGGAGGGTGAAGCCCAGGGGGCACGACTGATTGTCTTCCCTCATGGCTCTGGCTTTAGAAAGGGGAGGGGAATCCAGAATTATTAGTGAGCTCACTGTGTATAATGAATGACCTTCCTGACCCACCAGTTTTGACTCAAGTGATAAGTCATCCATCTCTGAAACTGGGTTTACTAAATCCAGAGGAAGTCAGCGTTTGGGGGGAGTGTCCTTGTTGATCAGCGAGACTAATCGGTAGTCGTGTCTGGGAAGCGAGCAATCTGTGAACCAGAAGTGCCCATCCTTCCCCATCCCAGCACCCCCTCCACACACTGAAGTTAACCAATTAATAAGTACTTTTTAAAAATATGTTTTTATTGATTTCAGAGAGAGGAAGGGAGAGGGAGAGAGAGAGATAGAGACATCAGTGATGAGTCCTTGATGGGCTGCCTCCTGCATGCACCTGCTGGGGATCGAGCCCGCAACCCAGGCATGTGCCCTGACCGGGAATTGAATCGAGACCTCCTGGATCCCAGGTGGATGCTCAACCGCTGAGCCTCACCAGCTGGGCAATAAGTACTTAATTCTCATATTACACACACTAAATATTTTGTTAGGCTTATGAAAAAATTTTAAAATGTGAAAATGCAATTTATTAATTTATCCAGCCTGTAAGATATCGACTCTGCTCTCAGGGACCTTACAACTTAATGGAGAAGCCAGACTCACATGGCAATTTTATTACATATGATATGGAAATAACAGCATTTTGGAGTCTTTGACAAAATACTCCAGTGCAAAAGGTATGTTAGTACAAGAACCAGCCCAGAAATTACGTATTGTTTCAATGACCAAAGTCTTAGTGATCCCAAAGCCCAGGAAGTAATAGGTATCTACACTAACATTGAGAAATCATGAATCATAAGGACCACTGTACTGAGGTCCTAGGAAAAATAAGCCCAGTGAATTTTCTCCCAAGAATCCCAGTTTCAAATAAGATTTCACCGCCTCCTTTGATAGGTTTTTATGTCTTTGGAAAACTCTCTAATATATAAAATTGCAGAGTTTTTCTCTGGTGTTTTGTTTTCTTTCTTTATTATTCCTTTTGGTGACTCACCCGACTCTATAGTCACTTCAAGGACTGAAGAGTGAACTCTCAGATCTGTATCTGTCGCCGTGATGTCTCCCATATCCCTGCCGTCGGTCATCCCGCCAACGCGTCTGTCCAAACCCCTTGCTTTGCCCATCCCACCTAAGCAGTCTGCAAGCTTTTGAAAGGAGCGAAGCCATACTTTGTTCATTTTGATCACTCCCAGAGAGTTCACTGTGAAATACTGTTCATTTTATGAACCGATAAATTCGCATTCAATTATTTCTAGAGTTAAATCAAGGTTTATTTCTGTGGTCCCCCCCCCCCCCC